AATAATTTTTAAATATTTCATACAAACTGTCTTAGAATAGCTGAATTCCGAATTGTTAAAACTATTGATACTTAATCTTAGTAATATAATAAAATTGTATTTAGACAATGTCGGTACATTCAAGATATTTAGGATAATTAAAGATTGTGTCAAACAGAAAAAAAACTGACTCAAATGTGAAAATATTAAAATTTCTATGAGACCAATCTGTGAGTATACACTTTTGGATAAAAAAAAGAATTTTTCAAATCGGTTTAGGACTGACAGAATTATGAGGTAACAAACATAAAAGTAAATACAAGCGAATTGACAAACTACTTCTTTTTTAAGTCGGTTAAAAACTAATTTGAGAAGTCTTAAGAGTAATAATAGCCAAATAATATTTTTTAGAAATTTTATCTAGCTATATATATGTGTTTATACCGCAGAAACTACTACAGTTAATTAAAATACGGTTCATAGTAGTATTTAGTTTAACAGCAAAACTGGTGTATATCTAATCTAAAAGTGGTCTATTTCTGAAATCCATGCATACGAGGTAGCGGGCAATAACCTAATACACTATCAGTCTTATTCATAAAAAAAAATTACGTTTAAAGAGCTCTTAAGCTAAAATGACCAATAATACTATTGAACGTTTATATGAATATATTATATTTATTACCTATCTATTAATTTTTTATTTTCAATCCAAATCTTAGGACAACAATTGCAATAATAATCAAAACATTAAACTGTAGACAACACAAACTGAACAAAGGATGTCCCGGTTATTAAATCCGAGTAGGTAATAGAAACAGACAGTGCCCGGGGCGGGCGCTAAGTTAGTTTGTGTAATCTGTCCCGGGGTAGTTTATTAATTACGGCTTGACAAACTATGCGGTCGGGAGACGGGAGCTTGGGAGCCGCAGACTTGCGTTTGATGGGAGCCAGTACAAATTAGCTTATGGATATAATGCCACTGTCTTATCTACGTGTATTAGAGTTATTCAAATAATGCTGCTACACACTAATGCTACTATACATTTTAAATTTAGAATCTAGAGTAATAAACACAGAGCACATTTTTTATTAAACTATTCGAATACTGTTGGTCGCCGATGATATCATCGGAGGTAAAAGGGCGACTGCAGACAGCAAAGTCCAAACCCGCGGAAGGTCTTACAGAATGGCTTTTTACCATCTCCATCTATTTACTATAGATAAAGTAGTACCTAATACTCAGAATAATTGTTTCTCCCTCAGCTACGTTGAAGTTAAATATGCACAGAGAAATATGAATAGTGAAATATGACGTTGTCTTCATCACAATAAATGGCCAACAAATGCTTCTCACACCCTATTAGTGATTATAATCATAAGCAGATTTATATATATTTTAACGACTCAACTGGCGAATTTATTTTCGAAATTACTCGACTAGTTTCCAAAAACTATTTCCTATATTTCTTCTTCACATTTAAGAGTTTCTTCTTGTAATCTTACTAATTCATGCATTCTCTTCCAGCCAGCTCTATTCCAGGCCATATCTTTGATCTCACTATGCGACATAACACATAGTGTTTCCTTTATCCTTCTTATGTTACTTTTATACAAAATATTATATTTTTAAACCTGCCGATTTATTAAATGCGTTAATATGTCAGTGAAATAGTAATTAAGCTTGTATATGTATTCTATTGTTTTTTTATGCAGCTTAGAATGGCAAAAAAACTGACGTCCCACCTATTGGAAAGTGGTAACCGTCGCCTATAGACATGATAGAGTATACTGTTTCGCCCATGATACCCTCCATGCGTTACCATTTCTGAGGATTCAGGTGTTATTCCTCTGTGTCCTGTAAATTCACTGCCATATCTCACCCTTCAAACCGAAACACAGCCATGCAAACATAACTGCTTCACGGTAGAAACACGAATAGAGACAGAGGTGTCTAAGCAAACGACTTTTCTACAAAGTCTCCCTCTAGTATATTTAGTATTGTATATGTGTAAACATATACAATGGCAAAAATACACACATATACCAGAAAGTAATTATCACACACGTAATGGCGGGCAATAACGAAACGCGACAACAACAATCAATCCAGAAAACGAACAATTACAACTAACAAATGACTTATTAAATCCTTTAAGAGCGTTTTGTCAAACTAACAGGGTGTTATTATGGACAGGAAAAAAAATAGCACAACGAAACCGAAACCTTGATGGGAATATAATGGGTTGGCATTTTTTACACTGAGAATTTAGTTCGGTATTCGTACATCGCCCTGTTATTAAAACGTAACAGCTCGTGTACAACAATTAGCGTAGTATTCTCACGGCAATGGACAAGCGACTCGGTTAATTACAGCTTTTTGATTTGAGGAAGATTTTTTGGGTCGCCCCCGAGGTCAAGTTTGGTCGTACATTTTATTACGTCGCCTTCAATTTGCGCTAGATTTAAGGTGACATCTAAGCTATTAAAAATTTGCTTTAAACGTTTTATAAAAATTACTCAGGTCAAACGGACAACTGACGAACGGTCCAAATGATGGGGGAAGGATTTATTAAGAACTAACTATACCCCGCGACTTTGCCTGACTCAGTATATAAAATATCCTATGTGCTAAGTTAAGAATATAACCTACTCGTGTACCAAATTTCATTCAAATCCGTTCAGTAATTTTTACGGGAAAGAATAATAAAAATGTAGAGTAATAAAAATATATATTACAAACTTTTGCATTTATGACATTAATAGAGGAGGAACTAGGCATTCCATTACTAACAATATAGTCAGGTCGACCTCCACGGAGTCCCCCTAGAAAACATCGTGATTAATTCTTGTTTAATTCGTCACAACAAGTCAAATGCCCTATATCCTATACCTGGTGCTCCGCCAGCATAAAGTGACAACGCGGGCGGAATTACCAATCCAAATGTATGTATAGATTTATTTCACGCCTTCCTTCGCTTGCATTATTGAAGATTAAGATAATGATAATGTATATGACACTCGTAACTCGTCGTCATCTGATGATGATTTCATATGTTTGTGTTTAAATACAAAATTTTATAATAATTCAAGATTTAGTTCCACCAAAAATACCGACTTCAACAAGATCTATTATTTTAATTTATAAAGAATCTATTTTGATAAAATTTCTAATGCAACCAATCTGTAAGTATATCCTTTCAAATAAAAAACAATTTTTTTAATAAAGTTACAACTAACGGAGTTATGAAGTAACGAATATAAAAAAGAAATTCAACCGAATTGAAAACCTCCTACTGTTTTGAGGCAGTTGTTTACAATAACTTAAAATTGTATTCCTCTAAAAACACCAATTTCAATCATGGTAAGACCAGTTAACTCGTAAACTAAAGTACTATACCAATTTTGATAAAATAATATTTCTGTATGATCCTTTCAGATAAAAAAAAGAATTTTCCAAATCGGTGAATAACTGATAAAGTTCCGAGGTAACAAATATAAAAAGAACCGAATTGAGAAAAACCTTCTTTTTGATGTCGATTGATAGATATAAGCGTTAATTACAAGTCTAAGTTAAATAGGTATATTTACAATCTGTTAAGTGTTTATTTGAATTTTTTTTTCTCATTGATGATCTATTCTGTGACATATTTAATGTGAAACTAGTTCCCAATGGTCTACGCCATTTATAATAAGTTAATTGAGAAATACAATAATTTAATTATTGTATTTATCTAAATTTGTTTCATTTTTAATAATCTTATCATTTTGTTATATCTATCTAATTGCTTATTTTCATTTTCTATGACTACAAATAGTTAAAAGCTTCATATTTTCAGAACCTCTATAATACTCGTATATGGAATATTTATAAAGATTCCAGTATTTTTTATGCAACTCAGAATGGCAAATAAGCTGACGTCCCACCTGATAGAAAGTATTAACCGCCGCCAATAGAAATGAACAGTACCATTGTATTGTGACGGCCATGACACCCCTCATGCATTGTCATTAAATAAAAAACAAAGTATTGTAATGTACCGTTCTTTGATTTTAAGAAATGTTTAACATGTTTAATATAAATCATAATCATTTTATTATCTTTCTCATTTAATAAAATAAACTTCCTATATTTGTATACATGAATGACAAATTACTGTCTCATGCAAATTATGTAGGTGTGTAAAAGTAATAATGCGATTATAAAATGATATTTAAATCAATCGCAATTTATTACATTACCTTCGCAATGATTATCCCTTTATATTATTTAATTATCACTAATATTTGACCATAAATTCAAATTGCCAGCTTCTGATGTTATTTTTATAATCCAAACTAGTTTCTTAATTATTCATGACTTGATATTGATTTCTAAAGTCGTGTATCTAATATGCAAATATGCACTATTGATGTGACATTATATTTGATTTTATCTTTATATTTCCTATTAACTGTTCAATTGATAAGAAACTCAATAAATCATGTTCTGTGTAGTCATTTAATACTTACCTACCAGTTAATTTTTTGAAGTTGTACTAAAATCGACTAATAATGGAAAGACTGATTGACTCGTCTCTATGGAACTGATTCCAAAACTGCTGAAGTTATAAATTCTGCAAACGACAATTATGTATTGGTATATAGGAGATTAAGGGTAAAAAAAAACCTATAAAGGGTGTAATTAGAGGATTATATACTTATCCTTTCATCGTTTCATATCCAATCTCAATTGTTCCATCAGTTGAGAATTTGAAAATTTAAAATGATATATTCTGCAGTATAGCTATTAATTATTCTTTAGTACAACTATTAAACTCAAGACAGATACTTGTCTTTTTATAACGTTTATTTCAAAACTCACTTTATAAAAATTGATTTTATGACCCAATACGTATAGATTAGATGCTCAGTTTGTTTCCAAATCGAATAAAGCTATATAAATAACGTAATAGTAACCTTTAACCAAAATGAACACGACACGCGACTTACCCACCACGAAGGAAATAAAAACAAACGTGCATTTTTCCTCAATGAGTTTATTGCGCCAGAACAATAAATGAAGCTGATCATTATTAACGTTTACTTTCAACATCGATTACGAATACTCTACACGATATCATATCGTAGATAGTCCATTAATATTTATAATATCCAAGTCCGTATTGCACTTCGCGTCACAAACATCTCAACACCACAGCGGTATCATCTATCCCTATTAACTTAAAGTTCGTGGGATCAATAATTAAGATATATTTGTCTAAATATCACAAGAAAATACAAAACGAAATACGATATAGAATTAACACAATTAAAATTATTAACAATTAAATATACAGTCTGTCGTGCGCCGTTGGCTAGGAAGTGAGGTATCACCAAGACGGGCGGGGCTCGTCGCGGCTGCGTCATGACACCGGAACGTGGTGCTGGTACAGCTGTTCTTGGCGCTCGCATAGGGAGGTCATTTTCTTAAATGATTCAGAAGTCTCCCGAAAAAGCAGCTTAGCGTCTTCACGGGGGCGAGCGTGAGCAGCGTCCAATCTGCCAGGTGAAATCACGGGGGGCGATGATGCTGAGAGAGGCGACAGGGACTCCCGAGCTGACTGAGCCCCCGCCGGAGCACCATAAGGTCCCCCGCCTGCCTGTGGAGCGCCATTACCCATCAGAAAAGGAGCTGGAAAAAACCCCCGCTCGCCAAATTGTGGGAACAAACCAGCTTGTAGTGCACTTAAGTTTCTGCTGTAGAATTTCATCGTTTCTGTTACATAATTGGGCAATTGAGATGCATCTTCACTGCCTCCGTATCTTAAACTTTCAAGCGTAGATGCTAGCCCTTTTATATCTGCATACAATTTATTTAGAAGTTCTGTATTCACCTCTAACGGGGCTCTTTGTTCCCTTCCATCAAGTGTACCGGTTGACAATAATCTTCTATGCAAATCAACATTCGAACTATGCCTGTCTCGACTACGTCGAGAAGGGAAGGCAGCGTCACAACCATTTACGTCGCATGGATGAAGTAACTTTAGGTGGTCGTTTCTATAATGCATTCGTAATGTGAAGTGGTTTTGAAATACCTTCCCACAAGCAGTACACCGGTCTGGATTCTCATCGTCTATAGGAATTTCGAGATCATTAATATCGGTTCTATCATCGGTCCTATCACTGCTCGCGGAGGGTGAACGAACTCTAGCTAAGCGCTCTTCCATCGCATGCAAGTCACTCCCACTGTCACTCGGAGTGTACAAGTCTGAACGCAACCTTAATCCTTCACGAACAACGCTAGGTGCACTCGATTCATCATCTGATTCGCTTTCAGCCTTCACTCGCGTCAATGATTCCGAGTCCACAGTAGCTTCTTCGCTATTCTGAAATGTCTCCCATTTCTCTGGTTTTTGTTTTTTAAGTGATAAAGGCTCGTCATCTGCGCGACTAGAACCAGGTGTTGAAAGGTTTCTAAATAAATCCCCTTGATATTCCTCATCAGACACACTGTACTCATTAGTTTGGGAACACCTGGTGGGGTTCCCGCTCTTTCTCTTACGTTTATTGGGCACAAGCGATGACAACTTTTCCTCAGTAACGGTGGGATCAATGCGACTTTCGGCTTCAGGTTGGGTATCTGCAGGTTTAGTATCGACAACTTTATTTTTATTTACACTTAAATCTTCAGGTTCATCATTATAATTTAATCTTTCCATAACAGGTGACTGCGACCTAACCTCGCTTTTGTCTTTTTCTTCATCATCGGAAATGTCGTCATTAATTTCACTATAGTTGTTAGATTCCTCCTCAATGGCAAGATGAGGCTTAACGAGATCTAACGCACCTCGTGACGGCTCCTCGGGTGGAGGAATTTTTCTGTACATTTTTTCAATTTCACTGAAGTTGCGAAGATCGTCGAGAGGCACTCGTGGAGGAAGCGGGGTGGGTCCATTGGCTGCTGATAACGGTGGTGGTAGACGTGCTGCTAGTTCAGGAGGTAACAAGGTAGGTGGTGGCAGAGGTAGTCGCGCCAACGCTGGCAGAAGCGGAAACGGCTGTGCAGATCTGCCATCATGCGCTGATATCTTACGCCTCACGTGCGGCGAATGCAGCTTCGGGTTTGGATTAGCACTGTGTCTGTTTCTTGAACGTCGCGAACTGAACATCATTGTGCACCCCTCTACCGTACACTTGTGCATCTCGCGTAGATGTACCGCCGAAAAATGTATTTTTAGTGCTCCTTTATCGCAGAAAGTTTTAAGACAAACATTACATTGCACTCTCTTCTTTCCCGTAGCGGGGTTGACGAATTGCACACCGAGTCCGAGAGGCCACGGTGCAGGCGGCGGGTCACGTCGTTCGGCCGGATAATCGGGCGACCGTCGCTCCTCACTTCTGTCGTCGTCGCGACCGCTGAAGCTGGCGCCTAATTTTCTGAAGTCAAAGTGCGGCGCAGGCTGGCTCATACGCGGCATCATAAAATAGTCCAAGCCGGCCGGTAAGCCGGGAACCGCACCGAACTCTTTGCCTTCCATCACGTCACTGTCATAATATACGCGCGTAGTACGAAGCGGGTGGCGCGCGACGCGGCCGCTTTGCGACTGACGACGTGCGACACAGGTGACCGCGCGCGGGCGGCGCGCGACAAAGGCGAGCGGTGCGGGGGTGTGCGGGCGACGGGTGGCGGGGGACGTAGGTGGGAGGAGCGAGCGCTGGGCGGAGCGGATCGATGCGCAGTGGGGACAGGCGACAGTTGCTCGCTCCGAGACCGACACCGACCGGCCAGCGACCAGCGACCAGCGAGCAGCGACCACTGTAAACACTAAGCTGGGCATGCCGTTACATAACATACTACTATACAAGTACTAGATCTACACAACATTTACCTATAAAATCTATCTATAATGAAATTTTGCATATGTGTGAATTTCACATCTAGGTTTATTAGTAAGTACATAAACATTAAAAAGACTCTCTCTCTCTCTTCGTCCTCTTCGTTACTGAAGGTCGTGTCCTTGAAAGGTGTCCGTTGCCTCTCTAATAATGTTATTCCATTGTGCACGGTCTTCAGCTTCACGCAAAAGACTAATAAGAACTAAATTTGATTAAACTTTTAAAACAAACCTTTTTTCTATTTAGGTACTTACCTAGGTATTTATATTTTACTCAAATTAAAATGGCAAACAAGCTGATAGTAAGCAAAAAAAGTCGCCTAATCTAGAAATTCTAGAATAAATATATCTACACAAAGATATGATAATATCACATTTAAGTCATAAAGCTCTAACTAAACTTTTAAAATAAGTTTTCGCTGAAATACGAAACGATACTTATATCAAAATTTTTATTTTATCTTTTTATTTGTACTTAAATTATCTACAATAAAACTAATGTAAAATTTCTAGCAGACAAAATATCTCGGGCATGTCATATTAGTACTCAAATAAAATAGAAAAAAAATCACTAACCAGCAAATACTAGCTATAAGCCCACGGATTCGCCCGCGTTATCTTATAAAGTATGCCATGTTCTAAGTTAGGAAATAATCTATCCCTGTACTAAATATTATTCAAGTATGTTTACTAGTTTTTGTGTTAAATAGTAACAAACATCCATCCGTTGATCCTTTCTCGAAAACTTTCGTGTTATTTTAGTAATAGGTATATTAGCTGGATTAACATTATGAATACTGAATATAGTGATCCATTTATTCCCAAAGTGGGATTAGATATGTATGATTCGAAGCATAATGGCTTTTAGGTAGGTATACACTAAGCTATATCTGTTAATTTAGGCGCCTTGCCTACCTACTGACGTACCACCTACCTACATCAGGTACCTAGGTAACAGATTTAGAGTTTTATCATGACCTAGTTTATGTTAAATATGATGGAGATTAGTATTTTATGATCTAAACGTTGCTGAGAAATATATTAAACTAGATATCTAGTCTGGTTTCGCCCGGGTATATAGAATTTTCAAAAATAATCCATAGACTAAATTACTCGCTGGTTAAGTAGTTTTCTATAATTGAAATTTGAAAAGAAATTTTTGCCTAAAATGAATTTTTATGATCAATTGAGCAATTTTTTTATTTTTTCTATTACAAATAAACAATCAAATATTCCTTATAATATTATGGTAGTATTGGATAAAGGATCGTTGATGAAACAAAATTGAAAAATCTTAATATCTAGGTCTTAATCTCTGAAATCGCTTAACCTATTTTAATGCGATTTCGTTAATATGTATTGTTTTCTTCAAGTAGTTAGTTTTTTTAGAGAAAATATACCCAAGAGACCCATTGACGGTTCAGGTAGTGTTAATCAGCGACCTTGAATATTTCTTCCAAACAAAATGTTTATTAAAATTACTTATTGTGCCCTATCTCAGCTAGGTAATATTATTTTTTTAGGTTTTATTTATATTATATATGTATCAAGCAAAATGCTCGCAGCAGGAAGTATGTAACAACTAACGCCATCTATGATCGATTTTTGTTACTATACCTAATAAATAGGTATAATTTGATTAAAAGTGATTTAATATTACTAAAATAACTTTGCCCATGTAATTTTAACCTCGTTGCACTTATTTTGCATCCCATATCGATTCTTCGAGTTTAAATTAAAAAAAAAAACGTGAAATTAAAAACACACAGAGTAGTTGATCTTTCATTGCCTCAATTGTACACAGTCATATAAAAACCATTAGCCTTCTTTTAAGGAAATGCTCGACCCATGAAACTGAATATGTCTTCAAAAGTAAGATGGGTTGAAAAATGACAATTAATTAGAGAACCCTATACCTACTGATTTGATAGACGAACGTACTGTGTTTGTATGGGAGGTTAAATATTTTTAGCGTATTTCGGTTTGTTTTTTTTTTTTTTTCTGGTAAAATAGAAAAAAAAATTACTGATATAACGTTTATTTAAACAATACTAATGATTGTGATTTCGCCTTATATATATTCTTTAATTATATCCACTTCATATACAATAAAGCCTAGAAACTTTTGTTGCCAGAAAGCAGCCACACTTAAATCGTTTTCAATATATAAATAAATAACATTAAGTTTCTATTGGTTTTATTAAATTTATTATATTACATCATTGGGTACTTTTTTAAAATAAAAAAAGAACCTTATTACTTTGTAGTCAAGATTTGTCAGAAAATAAAGTCACACAGTAAATATTAGCATTCAAACCACACCTATTGCTAACTATAACTACAAGGTAGTAAGTAAACTTCTAAAACAATTACATATACAGAGGAAATAGGCACTTACAGCTTTATTCCGCGGTACATATACATTTTCTAGCAACATTTATCGAACCAACGTTAGAACCTTTACGAACTAAACTATCTACACTTATTGGAACAACTAAGAAAAATAAAGAAACTATTAAAAACGTATGAAACACCACAAGAATCCGCCCACTACAAAGGAAAATACGCTTACAAATAGATACGTTGGTTATTTTCTTACTAAACAACTAACACTAGAGTTACCTCATCAAACAATCGGCTTTATGACGAGCTATTAAAATATATTATGACTTGACCTGCCCTCGAGATTTTATTTAAAAGAAATAAACTGATTCCGTCATTTGATGAAATTAGTATAAAAACAATACAGCCCTTTAATTTGAAATCGTGTAATATAAACACAAAAATAAAAATATATTATTTTTAAGATATCGTAATTTTGTAGTTTTATAAAATTGAAATAAATACATGCAATCTTCCCAATTAATCTTAATCCCGTTCCACTGACTCGAGAGTGTTAATAATTATAAAATTCACAAACACCTACTCCGCAATACGTAATCAATAAATACACCTACTTTAATCTGACAAACCGTTCGCAAACAGTTTAGTCTCAATCGATGTCCGTCAATTGAATGTTTTTCACCCTGTTTGATGTCGTCTCGCACCTAATAAACGTTCCCGATTCTCGATTATTCTTGATCTCGGAACGGTTACAATCACTGGACTATCGCGTTCGGACTTCACTATAAACACACTTTTATTGTATTGTGTAATGTGATTTTAATTTATTCGCGCCTATGTTCCCTTTGAAGCGATATGTTGAATGTCAATCGTTAATATGCTAGTTCTGTTTTAATAACAATAATATTAGGGATATCGATTTATGTTGTGCGATTAAATTATGTTACATTACAAATTGTATACCGAAATAATAGCCAACCGCCAATCGCGCCGTTGAATACAGGCTATTTGTAATAGTGGTTCACTCTACACAATGACTGTGGATGCATGTTAGCTGTAATCGCTGTATGTAGGTACACTTTTTTTTTTTTTAATAAAAAATATGTGAATATTGAAAGATATCTCTTATATCATTCATTTATTCATCTCATACGAAAATATATTTAGATTCGTTTAGGTTTAGGTTCTCTAATCTAACTAATCCAAACGTAATAGTTTAAAATTCTAATTTCAAATGAGCGAATATGGAAATTAATGCTAGAATTCTCATTCAAAGTATACCTTATGCTGTATGATATAAAGTTTAGATTAATTTCGTATTATCGAAACTAAAAGTACACAAATATTTTGGCGATTATAACTGTTGTAGTGAATATTATGTGTTTACATACTTACCTATTATGTATTATATACATATGTAGCTATGTTACGCGATTATGTCGCCAATACTAAACTGATTTTGTTTATTCTTTTTGCAAGCGATGGAGTTTACTCAACTGTTAATCTCATAATAATTTGTGACTATTGAAATTGCCGTTTCCCTTTGTGAAGCATAACTTATTTATGAACGATTCCGCATTCTAAATTTAAATATTTTCAATGTAATGTCTATACGTGGCCACGAAACACTAATTAATCGGTGTACTTTTTTACAAAACAAAATGGGACTAGGTACTTATTTCTAGAGATGGGTAATATATAGCAATATATATATTCTATTTACAATATCTGTAGGTCAACCAATATACGATATCATAATATGAAATGAAGATTCCCATCGAAATTAATATAGATAACCAACTTGTAGGGTCGATATCGAAATGGGTGATGGCCATTGTTTCCATCCTCAATGTCCAGAGAAACCCAATATATAGATATTGCAACGGTACCTATATTACCCATGTCAAATTGTCATACAATAAATGCACTAAAATCGCCATTCGCTGCTAATTTGGACGGGCGTATAGTCACCGCTTCTGAGGTAGATACTAAGAGTTTCGCGGTACGTAAAGTAAACACGCTCTCTTTTTGTCCTAAGTGATCCGGCTCTGGTCAACGTCGATTTTTATATCGAGTTAAGGTGCTTATACACTACACATACTGTACTAATATTTTTTATTATGCTAAATTTAAAAAAAAAGTGATATTAAATTTTATGGTACTTTCTAAAGGAATTGATTTTACTGAATTTATTGTCAAGCAAAATAATAAATAATCTAATAACTTATTAATGATCAATTAATCGGTCTATTAAGAACATAATATAAATTCAGATGTGTCAATAATGACAATAATATATAGATGCCACTAACGCACTGCTACTCCTACTAACTTTAGCATGCCTCTATTTCACTGATACCTACTTACCCTACAGACCAAAACAATAACGTATCTACTTGATGTACGTATATTAA